GTGCCACCGCATACACTCAGCAATGGCGACTCCAACTTTTTGGTTAGAAGCAAATGTGGTTCTTAGCCGCACTTGGAGGTAAGTTCCAGAAAGGCCACACACAAGAAGGAGAGGGGCTTGGGGGCCACTTTAAAGTGTGCCCTTCACAAATACTTGCTGAATTATACACTCTGTCGCAAGCCACTGGTGATGACGATCGTGGACAGGACTGAGAAGAAGACATATGTGTGCCCGTTCTGAGAGGCACTGTAACACAGGGCTTATGTCAGGGGATCACTGGGGAAGAATTAAGTCCAAAGTTGGGCTGGGAAGTTAGGAAAGTCTTCATGGAGGTGGAATTTGATTTCCTGGTAGAATTTTGAAAGCTGAGAAAGAGAAGTTGGGGACAAAAGAAAAATTGGAGTAATTGCACCCTTTTTCCCGCTTAGCTGTTCTATGTTTCAGGATCGGGTCTAGAGAGGGCTGGCCGCAGTCTAGTAAGGCCTGCTGTCTACCTTCATACTGCTTTCTGTCTTCTCTTCCTTCCGTGGGCGTGACCAGAGGCACCAAGGTGGTGCTGCCTATTTAACCTCTATAAATGTGTGGTTGGCTGTCCCTCCATTTGAATTTTGGGTCTCAGTGCTCTAACCTTGCTTCCGGGTTTCCAGATTCCTGGTGCATAATTTAAAATGTAAATGTTAAGGTATTTTTAGTCTGTAATGAATTCATCAGTCCCATCACAAGTTCTTCTCTCTCTGCAAATTCTGTTTGCTCCTCCTAGAAGATAGGTCAGAATTCAAGCCACAGGAGAGTGTGTCCAGGCTCAGTTTGAATTGGAAGGGAAGGTTGGATTAGGACAGTGGGGCTCTGGGGACAAAGTCCACCTGTGGAGCTGTCGGTACAGTTCAGTAGCCACCAGAAATCCCCTGCTGAAATTCCTTACATGATGTTGAAGTGATTTGCATAGAAGTTTGTGAGCATGTGCCTATGTACCTTAAACCCTGTCTAGATTTGCAACACCTGATGACATATGAGTGCTATGTTAACTTACCACTATGCTTAGTCTTGTATGGAGAAACAATTTAAAAGTTACTCATGGCTTGGTGAAATGGCTCAATTAGTAAAGGCGCTTGGTGTCGAGCCAGCAACCTGAGTGGTGAGAGGAGAGGGTTGCCTTCTGCAAGTTCATCTCCATGCATTGTGCACACGCGCACACACACACACACACACACACACACACACACACAATAAAAGGGCAACGTCCCAAGTGTCAGCAGAGGCTGCATTATTGTGATTTTAATGAGTGGTTCGATAAAGTCCCACTTTTTAGTAAGTTAAAAGGCTGGCAGGATGGTACAGTGGTTACGCACACCGGCTCTTCTTCCTGAAAACCTGGTTCGATTCCCAGCACCCACATGTTGCCTCAACTTTCTGCAACTCCAGCCCCAGGGGACCTGATGCCATGCTCTGACCTCTGTAGGCACTGCATGTATATGATGCATAGATATGCATGCACCCACACACATAAAAATATATAGTAAAACGTATTTAAAGCTATGATCTTAACAACAGCTCCCCCCAACCCCCGTATTTCCTACCCAATGATGGTTGAGCCCAAGGATGCGACCTGTGTCGAACTGAGTGCGTCTGTTTCTCAGGACTGCCATTCAGAGACTGTGGGCCTCACCTTGGTGCCGTGTAAACAAATGACTTAGGGAAACAGAAAAGAGCAGATGTAGAACATAGAGTAGAGGTAGCCACTGGCTGCCTGCTGCCCTATTGTGTTTGGCTTGTCTTGAATCAAAAATAAATGAATAAATAAGTCAATGATTAAATTTAAATGATGAAAACTGGATCTATAATTTCTCTTTTAAAAATGTAAGGGGCTAGGAGTGAATAACTCAGCTGGTAAAGTTCTTACTGTGTGCTTGTACGGAGCTGAGTTGGACCTTCAGTACCTGTGCAAAAAGCTGGATGTGGTTCCAACACTAGAGAAATGGAGACCAACCGGTGAATGCTGGGACTCACTGGTCAGCCAGCCTCGTGTAATCGGTGAGCCCCAGGCTGTAAGGCAATGTCAGATAACACGAGTTAAATGACACCTGAGAGGCAGCATCCAGGTTGACCTCTGCCTTCCTCGTGATCTGCACATGCCCTGCACCCACAGAAACATGAGCATGCACATTTCCACACCCCTCTGACTGTCTCAGTCTTCACAGGCAGCGCATATGCCATCTTCTCTAGGATGGCCGTTCTCAGTTCAGTGAGTGGGGACAGGCGTGGCTGTGCACCTGGTCCCCTCACCCTGTGCACCAAGAGTGTCCGGTTAGCAGGCCCGCAGAAACCCCGGGTTCTCTTAGCACAAATGAATGTATCAGCCACCATCAGGGAAACAGACAACGCCTACCAAAGGCTTCCTGCCATGTGTCCTGTGCAGTCTGCTCTCCATGGACTTCCAAGTCCTGCTGCACTGTACATGCCTAGGGGGCCAGAATTCTCAGGACAGGACCCAGAATACAGCAGAACAAAACCCTCATCATTACTGAACCGAAGGCAGTTTTCTTCACATAGTATACACACACACACACACACACACGTACTCACGCACTCATGTGCACACATGCACATATACAAGCATACACACAATGCAGACCAGTTATGCTACAAAAGCCAGTATGGCAAGAGGAGGCCAAGTGCTAGCATTTGGACCAAAGCTGTCTTTTGTCTGTTTACAGAGAGCATCCTAAATCCCCCACCCCCATCATCTCTGTTCAGATTTCCATGATGTGGGGTCTCTGGAAATTGGAATTTCAAGACTCCTCATTAAGATTTCTTTAGTCTCAGTCATCCCTGGAACTATGTCAGTGGTGTTTTGGGTGCGGGGAGTAGGAAGTAAAGAAAAAGACCAGCTTTAAATTGGCACCAGCCCTAATCTAGGTTGACTGGGATGTGTAGGGATTAGTCACTATTGCTAATGAATATTTAAATCTCCTTTGGTTTTCTTGGCAAAAGAGGGCATCAGAGTTTTCAAAGCCCAGATTTGAATGATTGGCCCGTCACAGGCTGGCCTGGGAAGCAAGTCAGCCTGTGCAATAGTTTTCTCTTGCAAAGCCAGGTCTTACCTCCACGCTGCCAATGGTTATTCCCAAAGGGCGCTTGATGGCCTTCCCATCCTGGAAATTGTCATCAATCATGAAACCATTGCAGCCTGTCCTCAGCCTAAGCCAGGAAAGTGCCGCCGGTTCAGCTGGTCCAGGGCAGGCTGGTCTAATTCTCTAGGGCACAGGCTGAAAGAAAGCAGAAGAAAGGAAAGAAAAACCGTTGGGCAGATTAGGAAACCAGGGGCCAGGTGACTGCTGGGGCTGGTCCTAGAGAGCCACTGAGGCTGCCCACAACTGGAATTAAGGACAGGACATTGGGTCAACCACCATGTTGATGAATGACCTTGACCTCATCACAGACAGTGGAAGGTTGGTTTTCACCACTTGCTTGAATTTCATGATCCATAAATATACAGTTAATACATGGGAAGAGCTGTGATCCTGCTGAGGCCAGAGCACTTTGGTAGCTAGTCTTGCCTCTGATCATCCTCCCGTTGATGTCGGTTGAGAACAACAAAACCAAGGTCTCTTTCCTCGCTGCTCAATTTCTGTTACATGCATGTGTTGCATGACCATCACATGCCCAAGGTAGTCACTGGTCCCATGGGAAAGAAAGAGCTGGAGATTGGTAGTCAGTGCTAAATAATGTGCTGGAACAAGCTATGGCGATATCTGTATTTTCATAAGCCAGTGGGAAAAGCGGCTTGCATGCTGCAGAACCATGGAAGGAACTTTGGAGACTCTGTGAGATGTTGCATGATTTGAAATGGCACATTTACAGATGTGTTAGCTTCCATGTTCTCAGACTGGTCAACCCAAAACGTTTGCCACTCACCTCCTTAAAATGTCAGTTTCCACACTTGACGGGATGAGGGGCCTTGCTGCCTTCTCTAACCGGGCTGCAAAAGGAAGTTCAACGCAATACAGAATGCATGCATCCTTATGTAAACAAGTGGTTTGCTCAAGCAGCACCTTAACTTGACTTTTCCATGTTTCTTGTTATTACATGGAGATCACATATTGTTCATGACAATATGATGTCATCCTGCATAACTATGAAAACATGCATGCATTCACACATGTGTGCACATGCATGTACCACACACATATGCACATCCATACATTCACAGACATATATACACATATAATAGTGTTGTGATTATAATTCTGCATATCTGTAAAGATATACACATGTGTTCACATACACCGAGACAGAGACCCATTACTGACACCACATACACAGACACATCACATGTGTACGTCACACACAAACGTAGGTTCACAGATACACATACCGATACATATGCACAGACGTCTCATCATGTTTGCACAGAGTACCCACACAGATGCGTGTACATTTTGTTGTTTACAGCTCTGCAGAGAGACTATGCCAGACAAGCCTTGTACTAGTGAGCTGCATCTCCAGCCACATTTTAATTTTTGGTTTTGATTTTAATTGGAATCATGTTGTTGTTTATATGTGGGAGGGGGGATGAATGGTATCGTCTCACTTGATTGCAGAGGATATCTCTGCTTCATTTGTAAAAGTGTAAGAAAAAAACGGTGTGCCCCAGGCTAGGGAGCTGGAGGAGCTAGTCTGCACCCTGATTGTTCTGATGTTCAAGGCCCCATCTTTCAAACCTTCACTGCCAGTGCCTAACCAGATTATAGAAAGGAAGCGAGCCTTTGAAAGGTCACTACAGAAAACAGTCTCTGCACACACAGTTCACCCTCTCAGACCTCTGCCGGAACGGCCACAATGAGCCGAAGCCCTGAACAAATGAACATTTCAAATGCCCAGATTTGGTTGTAAGAATTCACTTCCTGTTTGAGTCACATTCCGCAGCTCGCTGCCCTTCCTCGCCCCCAAGCAACTGCCATTTGTGGTTACTGTGCTCACGGCTGCCCCTTCTCTTTTAGCAATCGATCCACTCCTAGCAACCATGACCGGATACAGCGTCTTCGGCAAGAGTTCCAGCAAGCCAAGCAGGATGAGGACGTGGAAGACCGGCGCCGCACCTACAGCTTCGAGCAGTCTTGGGTGAGTGTCTGGTTCCTTAGCCCAGCAAAGAGGCTAACAGCTGACCCCCGTAAGAGATGCCCCTGAGCTATGACCTCAGTCTTTTATAAAATAAGACAAGATGGAGCCAAGTCCCTCTGACCTTTAGCTTTCTGACCTTTCCCTCATTCCCATCTGGGTTTCATCATTGCTAATTTCATTTTATATCTTGTTCCACCATCTGTCCACTGTGTAATAGGTTCAGATGGTCATATGACGAGACACGGCCGAAGAACGTCTGCTCCCAAGCACATTTGTTATTAGGGTCACTCAGTGCCTTTCCTATAGAGCAGAGCCAAAGTGGCTTCAGTTCCTGCTCATTCGTGTCTGTGAGACAGAGATTGGTAATTCTTGGCTCTTTATTCTCTAACCCCCTTGATATGTCACTTTGTTCTCTTTTGCTTTATTGAGACAGGGTCTCATATAGCCCAGGCTAGTCTCAAACTCACATATAATCAAGGATAACCTTGAACTCCCGATCCCCCCACCTCTGCCTCTGTACTACATCTGTGTATCCTTATGCCAGCTTTCTGTGGTGCTGGGCATCACACCCAGGACTTCATGCGTGCCAGGCAAGATCTCTACCAACTGAGCCACATCGCCAGCCCTGCCAAGTGTTCGTCAAACCCAGTTTATTTGTCTTCACCTCTCCTCCGTCCTCCATACAGCCACTTCAGTGATCTCTTTAGAATGAAACGGTGGCTGCTACTCTCGTGTCCCGCATCTGTGAGACCTGGCGGCCCTTCTAGGAGGTAGAGGGATGGGAGCAGAGCTGGTGCTGGAGACAGCGAAGACTTGAAGGCTCTCTGGGAGGAGAGAGAGGGAGTTCGTAAGAGCGGTGCACGTAGGCAAATGCAGCTCTGGGTATGGAGATGTCCCGTCCCCCTGGTAGCTCAGCCCCCACCAACTGCCCAGAGGACTAGGAACGAAGGAGACATCTTTGCAAAGAAGCTCTGTGATTGAGGTGGAGGAGGCCAACAGGAAGAGGCCAGGATGTGTGTGCTATAGTCCTGATGAGGATTCTGGGGTCAGGATGGCTTAGTCCAGGTTGGGGGACCTGTGCAGCAAGGAGATGGATCACCACAGTGGGTCAAGAGTATGCAAGGATGGCCAGAAGCCTCAGGGCTATCATGGGAACAGCTATGCTGTCCTCGCCTGTGAGGCTCAAAAGCAGACGCAAAAGGGACGTTGATGAATCCCTTCAGAACAGTATTAGAAAAGACTCGAGGATACATGCTCCTTCTAGATCAGAGGAAAGATGAACCTCGCAGCTGAAGTGAGGCCAACAGGTGGAGGGAGGGCATCCTAGAGAGGGCAGCCATGCTTGACCTCCACCAGTGGGGTTTCTGGAATGTCAGGGTGGCCTTTGGGGCCCTTCTTGGTCCCGATACCCAATTCATTCTGTGGACTCTGGTTGATGATCCTAGGGAAGACTGAATTAGAGCTGTAGGAAGGACAGGTGTGGAAACCGTGTCAGGCTGCTGGGCCGCGCCTCAGCTCAGGAGAGGAAGGCAGGCCTTGGGGTGGCGGTTGGCAATGTGTGAGCGTGCGCTATGAAGCCCAGCCTGCCCCCGCTGTGGGTGTTCTATACACAGGCCTCCAGTCATCCTCTGAAGCTGTTCTGCTCTTAGAGGTGCTTTCATTATAAGGGATTTGATTTATTTTCTGGGTCACCTCTGTAGCAACAGGATGGCATTGTGATAATGTGCTGGTGTTGTTTGGCGTCATGGACTGCATCTAATCCCTACAAGGTTTCCTAAAGCAGGGTTCTTATGTGATGTATAGTCAACTACGTTTGGAGGGGGAACCGTGGACAGAAACCTCAGGAGAAAGCCGTCACCACAGATGGACCCAGACCCATACCCTGCTCTAACCTGCAAGCTCATGGTTTGGCAGTCCCCACTCTGTGTGTGCCGTGAGGAGCACTTTTCTACCTAGGGGTGTGGTTTCAGACTAGCAACTCCCTGGCGTTCATTTTTCAGCTAATGGTGCGACTTCTCAGACTTCCGGAACGCTCACAATGCCCTATTATCATGCGGTACAGAAGAACAAGTCTGTGAAGGACCAGCCCTAAAACTCTGCAGCAAAGGTGATACAAAGAAAGCCGCTCTCAGTCCTCCTGCTTCACTTCCCAAGTGCTAGGATTACAGGTGTGGCTACCACTCCTGGCTTCTGGCTGCTGACATTGCACCCACAGAGTGAACTTCAAGTTTGAGGCCAAGTGTCTTCTCAGTGTAGGGTATTTTCACTGAGAGAAATGAGGATTTTATCGAGGTCTGAATGAGGAAGTGTCTGTGATCTGGACGTTTCCACGTTATCTCTTTAATAGGAGAAAAGACCAGAAAAAAAAAAAAAGCCTGTATGCCATTGAAACAGTGAGACAGACAGCAAGGCCTACGTATTGTTTCCTGTGATGACAGAGGAGGCAATCACTTGGATGACAAATTGGTTACCTTAGGCACGGAATGGTTTCCCCGATTGTGGATCAGAAGTTGACCTTTTCCTTTCTTTTTCTTTCTCATTTGCAAACCGTTGAGATCTTGCTGAGAATTCTCCCTCTGGCTGGTGGCATACTGAGCTTATGGTTGCTGTCACTGGGCTCTGCCCTCCCGCCTGCTCTTCCTCCTCCCTCTGTGAGAGCTGCTAACTTCCCCAGAGCGTAACCTCCTCTGGCTCTCACTGTCTCTTCCATAGCTAGCCATGTCTTTCTTCCCACTTGTCTGCTGGTCTTTTAGCGCCCCT